TTTGCTCTGGCTTTTAATTTTCACAGCCAGCGTTGCCTGCGTCTTGCAGCACTGTGCAAAGCCCAAAGTCTGCTCCAGTAATCCTGCATGGTCATCCCTATTGGGCTGGGGCCAGATGCAAGGACCTCTCAGTCCATGTCAAACGATTGACCTCTTTGCATATGAAAGGGTTTGTGCAGGTGGCTTCTTAGTGGGTCTCCTAGGAGGTCTTTCCATAGGCATGCTCCATCTTGTCCATGCTCCCCCACTCTTTGGTCACCCCTCTACCCTCTTGAAGTTCTCCCACACCCCATACATATCAGGACTTGTCCTGCAGCCTGGTAAAGTAGGGGCCTTTTACTTCTGTTGAATTCCTTTCTATTCACATTTAAACTTTATTTATTCATCCCACTAGCTCTTAGTAAAAAATGTTTAATCCATTTTGCATGTATGCTTTTACCTGGAGATATATATATTCTATAGCTTTATAAATGTGTATACATATAAATATACACACATATAGAAGTATATATATAAAAATGTACCAATGTATAAATAAATAAAATATATATACACTCTTTTATATATATTTCTATATATGTATATATGTTATTGAAATGTATATAGTTTATATCTGAGCACTTCCTGGTCCAAAGGAAAAAATCAACCAATCACAGTGATGCCTAAAATGGAAGAAAAATTCTCCAAACAATATTAGTATAGATAAGATAGAGAGCAGTCCTTTAATGAAGGCCTTCAGGTGCACACAATACATAGGCGCAACCCCTGTGTCCAGGGATTCTACAATTTTATAGTACTAATCCATCCGATCCGAGAACTATCTGCCCTCAGATCCTACCCAGATCTGCCCCCCCTGGCAGGCCTCCCCAGAATTGAGTTGGAGGTCTCAAGATCCCTTTTTTCCTCCTCCTCCTCCTCCTCAATGTCTTTGGAGTTTCTCCAAGGTTTCTGGGCCTTCAAGGTTGCTTTGGTTACAATGATATCTTATTTTCCCAGTCCAGGTGCATATGTCCTAAACAAGATGTGTTTGCTAGAGTCTTTTTCCTTGAGAAGAACATTAAACAAACCTAAAGAATTTAGAAAATTCAATATGAAGCGTGAGAACAGGGTTTGGGAACTGTCAACTGCTATTCTAAAGTGTGAGAAACTTTGCAGCCATACTAAAAATCCATATTTGCTACAAATCTTAAAAATTATAAGGCATCAACAGGGTTGGCTGACTTCCATTTGTGCACACTGAAATTGTGTGATCCTGCCCCTCTACTCAGCCCTGGTGAGGCCACATCTGGAGTACTGTGTTCAGTTCTGGGCTCCTAAGTACAAGAGGGACATGGAGATCTTGGAGCAAGTCCAGTGGAGGACTACAAAGATGATTAGGGGACTGGAGCATCTCACTTACAAGGAAAGGTTGATGGAACTGGGCCTATTTAGCCTGGAGAAGATCAAGAGGAGATATTAATGTTCTCCATGCAGTAGATATAGAGCACCTGCAGTGTGTTTGCACCTGAGAACTTACCCAGTCCAATTGCTGCTATGCTGCCTTCTGTTTCACTGATATGCGTGCTGTTTGAGCCTGATGGCATGTGCTGCTTCCACATAACTGCCAATCCAGTTACATTGAGAGGGACTTTGACATCAGCAAGTGTCTTTTCTCAGGCCCAGTGTGTTTGAAGCGCCATTAGGAAATATTTTCCTGCAATCCTTCCACTGCCTGGCATTTTGGGGGTACCTGTGTGTTATCTTACTTCACACTTCCATCTCAGCCTATACCCAGTCCAATATACACTTATGGATAGGTTTTCATACAGTTGCTTTAAAACCTAAGATCAAGCAACTTCAAATACATATTTCAACTTTTTTTGTGATCAGAAACTTCTAAATATAGTCAGTTACATAACTCACAAAATTTAAGGTTAAAATCCTCTTTTGAATTGACAAAAGGGTTTTTTAAGTCCTTGTTAAACAAGAGATGCCTCTTTAGCTTAACTTCATGAAAACTCTGTAGATAGTTTATGTAAGATTCTACAAGTCAGACCTGAACAGAATCATCGCCATATACAGTTAGCATAGATTATTATTTTTAACTTTACCATGCAAATTTAGTCACTATGAAAATTAAAGCAAAGGTAACCTCTTGTGGTACCTTTGCTTTTAATGAAGTCTTCCTATTTTCCCAGTATACCATTTTACAAGCAAAGAACTTTTTGAATATACTCACTATTAAATGCAAATTTATGTTTACTTTTTTTAGACACAATATAACTAAATAATTCAGGAAACTACAGTGATAGGAAAGCAGCTGCATGACATATTTACCAAGCAGTAATATTACGTTTCAGACCTTTATAACCAACAAGAAATTGGACATCTTCAAAAGTGAGTGCCTAAAAGACTAGAGAGGTGTGCAAACAAACATTCTATTATGCCATTAAACCAAGTGTGATGTATCTTTTATTAATGAACACAATACATTTTTACCCCTATTACAAACCTTGTTTCATCTACTGCCACTTTTAACAATTAAGGTCTTCTCCTACAAAATCAAAAGTCCTCCTACACTAAATATGTCTCAGTGTTTTACCACTACTCAGTTATTAATTGTTATAACTAGTTGACAGTAGTTACATAGTTAAATTAATTATTAATTGTATCTCAACTTAGCTCAATGGTTCATTGTACAGTTTAGGTCAAATTCTACTTTTTCTTAAATTCTAATTGAATTTGACTTAAAATATCGCATCTCTGTTTTACTTACATAGGTGAACTGGATCTTGTCTCAAAAGAATGTTCAATGGAGTTAAGATTCAGTACCTTAGCAAAGCTTGGCAAAAGTCTCTCCCCTCCCTACTTCAGCTTTTCCCTTTCCATTTGACAGTGGTCTTTTTGCAAGTTATGGATTGTATTCTTAGAAGGATATACCTTCTGAATTACTAGATATATCACTTTTTTAAAGCAAACTTCCTACAGGGCATACTATAAGGTCAAGTTGAATTAGTTACTTTGAAGATCCTAAAAGTAATTGTTAAAAAGTAGTGATTATTCTACAGAAACTACTTGCTATCACTTCCCTAAGAGCCTCAAACTCAACGCAGTGAAAGATACTTACCCAAACAGAAGGCACTACGAAGGTCTAGTGCCTTGCAGGTTTACTATCATTGACTAAGAAATAAAAGTAATAATAATTTCCTACCCAAACTTTAAGTATTTTTAAAAGCTTTGATCATATAAAACTCAAATCACCATGAAATTCTATTTTAATTGTTTTATTTGTTTAATATTCTACATTGTTTATCTATGAGATTTTGATCTAGAGGCAGAGGTCTGTCAACCAATATATTTTCTTGAACTTTATGCAGCACTGTGCATCAGCAGTATTTGATCTATTTACTTACTGTTGAAGTAAGAGTCAAGATTACTGGACAGTAAAAACTTCTGAGAGAAGAATACAACACAGTTACTCCCTGTAAAATCTGCATGCTTGACTTTGCCAAGTTTTATTAATTTCATTGTATGTAAAAGAAAGTGTGCTCAACACCCTCCTTTATATCCCATTATAAATTTGTTTCATTTAACTTATTAACAATTTTGAGTCAAGGCCAGTAAGTTTAAACCATTTGCAAGCAATGTTTTTTTAGAACAAACTGGTTTTATATATGTACCAAAAGATTGTTCAGATGAAGTGTCTAATGAAATACAAGAATTAAATCAGAATGTTCACAATTACACTGACACCAAAGACCAATAAAAAGTAAGTGTTATTCTGTAACACACAGCAGAATGCTTTATTTCACTACTTTCACTTTATCTAAACAGTCTTCAGTATCATATGAGCCTTCCTCTCTGTCCTCCACTTTATACTCCAAGTATTGTTTGTTATCTTAGCCCAAAGTCTGTAAGTAGCCCCAGAGCTGACACTTCAATCATCTTGGGTCATCTTGAATGCTGGATAATCATCCATTGCAAACACACTGAAACAAGATGCTTAAATACTTTTAAATTAGTTTATTACCTGTGCACGAGAGGTAACTACCAATAAAAACTCAAGAGATATACAGTATTTTTTTACATGGTGGTTAAAATAATTAGAATATCACATGACAATGGCTGAAAGTAATGTTTCCAATAAAAATTCATAATGCTTGTTAGAATCTCAATGGAACAAGCCAAAAATGCCTTAGAAACCTTTTCAGAGTACAAGGTAGTGCTCCTTTAATTTGCAGAAAGGTAATTTACAGTTAATCTGTAACAATGTTGCAATGAGACAATGTTACAGTGCAAGTTTCTTTATGGTTAGATGTGAAGATATAACTAGAACAGCAATTCTAATATATTTTAAATGAACTTGCCTAAGCATTTTTTCTGAGATGTTTACCTAATATGTTGGAAGATTCTACACTAAACCCCATGTCTTACTACTTTTTTTTCCCCTGGTCTTTTTTGGTTACTTATAATTTCATTCTATTGCAATGTATAAATTTATAGAAATGAGATGTCTCCATTGTATATGTCATGTTTATACTTCATCCAAATAAAAGTAAAAATGGTAGGTTACTCAAAGTGGTATAAATTTTACAGTATTTTTCTAGCAGAAAAAATACATGCTGAAATCATCATAAGCAGCACTGGTACCCACATGTTATAGCTTTCAATTGTTTCCTTTTGAATTTGTATCCTACATAAATTACTACTGAAGGCTAATGGTTTAGTAGTAAATAAATTGGACAGTTGCAAGTCAGACAAAACCTACTCAATCAACTGTGAAAGCTGATATTGTTCCAAAAAATTAAGAAATAATGAAGAACAAAAGTGATGCACACAACAACTGAGTGAAAATGCATCAGTTCCCTATTTGAAGAAAACTACTGCACTTGACCTTAAAATGCATGACTTAGTTATAACAAGGAAAACACAAGAGTCAGAATGAAATAAAGCAACTGTTTTAAAGATTTAAGAACTGTTATCAAAAATAAATTACATTTTTTCAAGTTAAAGAAACAGTGCTATGAAAGCTGAGCACCAAGTAGCCTTTCAATAGCTGCACTGATATCTCCTCCTGTTGCTATCAGAGCTTGTAAGTTTGCTTCATGGTTCAAAAAGCCCATTGCACTCAGTTGCTCCAGTTGTTGCTGAAATCTAACTTCTGGATTTTGTAACTGCTAAGAAAAAAAATCTCAAGCTATAAAAGCATAATACATATTTGGCAAAGTACAGGATTCAAACATAGTTGTTTCAGAACCACTTCTTGTCTTTAGTAATTTCTGAATGCATCTTTTCCAAATTCCCCAAATTTCATTCACAACTGAATTGTTGATGAAAGAAGTCAGATTAGCCTCAAATTTTAAGAGTACCTTCACGTATGTGACATTTTTGAACTACAAGCACAGCTGCTTGTTTGATAAAAAAGGAACACTTACATCTGATAAATGTGTCACAAGAACAGTTTGTTAATGATGCACATGCAGACTTTTTTTTTAAGAATTAATCTAATCTAGTAGTGTGGAATAGAAAATTTTTGAGAATTTCACTGCTGGCAACAGTGAATGTGGTAGGTTTTTTTTCTTCCTTGACATAAAAGTCAGTTGGTAAATTTAGTCAACAAATACTTGGAGCATTGTTGACTAAATTTACCAAAATTCTAGTTAAAAAGTTCAGCCTAAGGCAAAGTGACAGCTGTGCTTTATGAGTTGATCTTGCTCAAATAAATTGCTCATAAACTAAACATAAAATTATGAATAATCTCAGTTGTATCATCTTCATCTCAGAGGCATTTGTGAAACAGAACAATTATATGAAAATATACTTTAGGTATATAAGGTCAGAGTAATTCTGAAAAGCTAGTTTTTGAAATGAGTGAGACAGTTTACATATCAACACAAGATTTTTGCACCTACTGCTAATTTTCCTTTTGTTCTACCTAAAGTTTCATCCAATTGAGAAATTCCTACCAGTATTTAAAAACTGCATATACTTCCAAACTAATAAAATGCAAACATACAGGTTGAAATGTAAACATTCCCCCCCACTCGAAAATACAAAAAAGAATACTGAATTGGTAGCGTAAGATCTAGAATGATAAAAATATCTATGAGAACATGGTTTCCTATAGCTATTCTTACCACCGCTTTCTCATAGTTACATAAAGTAACATTTTTCTGTCAAATCAGCAAGCTGAACTGACTTATTCTGTGGCAACAGAGGAGATAAGAACAGCAGGTTTATCAGCAGTCTGCCATTACACTGGATATGTACCACAGTGTATTGGTTCTGTTTCACAAAGCTGTCACCTTTGCTTGACTTCTGGAGCTCTCCAGAAAGCCTAAATCCCACTTGGTATGTTAACATAATGTACATTGTGCAATCTGAATCTGCAGGATGTCAGGGAAGCATGCTACAAATTCAGGCCCCAAATAACCTGAGCTACAACCATCAACACAAAGTACAGAGATAATGATGTTCAGTACACTTAAGTTCTTTTCTTGTCTGAGTCCACATTTCAGTTGTCAGGGAACCAGTCCTCCCTTTAACACCTTAATCTCCCTTCTTTCCAGGCATTTCAGAAACTCAAGGGTATGAAGATAGGTGTACCTATCAATCAACCATTCAGAGGACACTTTTACTCAAATGTGATGTTTTCCCAGCATTTATTTGCACAGCTAGAACATCACTTTTAATCTTCCTCTGCTCTCCTTTGAACAGAAGCATTCTGTTTGTTTACAGTGGGGAAGGGTGTGTGTGTGGGATGGGGGGAAGGGGTGTGTGTGGGGGTATCTGTGTGTCTGTCTCACTGGATATTTAAAAAAACTCAAACAAACAAAAACCCCACCAACCACACACACACAACAGACACACACGCTAGAATACAGTGATCTACTTTACCTGAGCATTTGCACCAGCAAGTGCCTGCAACATTTGTTGGACAAACTGCTGGTGACCAGGATCAGTGGCCCCTGATGTTGGACTTGTGTTTTCACTGGGAATTGAACTAGGTACAGTGGACCCTGTAGGAGCTCCAGTGCTTCCCAATCCACCTAAACCAGGATTGAATCTGCACAAATGACAGAGAAAATGGCTTAGTTGTAATCTCTTCCCATGAGATGTAATTACTAAGTAAAAATTCTGTCAAATAAAAAATGGATGACAACTTAAGCACTAAAACAAGACCATAGACCATTGCTTAAAAGTGTGTTGCAAACAAAAGTGTATGTCCTAGTTTTGTTTGCAGGTGCCGAGAACAGGGAGGAACCTAGAACTCTGTGGGCACGGCTAGGTTGCTATTTGACACCACCCACTTCGTTGCTGGGGGGTGTGGTTTTGGGGGTAAGAAAATATGAACACACTCTGGAAGCAGTGCCATTTTGTTCAATCTTTGCTTTGGGGAAGTTGTTGGGACCAGCCTTGTGGACCGTGTCCTTCTGCCACTGCCACCCATCCCTTCCCTTCCCCTTGGGAAGAAAGCAACTCCAAGCGTCAAACACAGCTAAACCCAGTGGAGCCCATGCGTGCGTCAATGCTGGAAGCAGCCGTGGGGAACGAAGCAGTGGCAAACCAAGATGAGAGGAGCCGAGCCCGAGCACAGTGGAGCAGAGTGGTCTGAAGTGGCAGTGCGGTGTGGGATTGAACTAGCAGATTGGAGCAGTCTGGAAGTGAGTGGCGCAATGCAGACAATCCAGCTTTTTGGGAGTTTGTCTAGGATTGTTTCTTGTTGTCTCAGGCTCAGGGGTGGGAAATGCTAGTTGTGGGAACATCCATCATCTTGTCTTTGTCCTGGGACGCTATGTAACACTAGTCACGGGAACGTCCGCCATCTCATCTTTGTCTCAGCGGCCATGTGGAACTGAGTCAAGGTGGTGAACACCTTTTTTGTGTGTAAAGAACCTTCTCTTTTGTATACTTGTGTTATTAATATTGTTGCTGCTACTCTGTGTTTCTTATTTCGCTGCTGTCTGTTTTCAGTAAATTGTTATCTCAACCCATAGTCTCTGCCTTTGTCCCTCTCTCACCAGGGGAAGGGGAGTGGTTTATTTAGAGTTTAATTCCCAACTGTTTTTTTAAACCACCACAGTGTGATAGATTCTAAAATAAGTTGAGTGAAACTAAAAAATGTAAGAGGAACAGTCTGTAAAAACTGGATAAACCTCTATATGTTAAAAAGAAAGACAAAAGCTGACAAAAACCCAAACACAAGAGAAAAGTTCTTGTATAAATTTGTATGACCAATTCTTACCCTGGTATAAGTCCTGGTGCTTCCGTTGCTAATGTCTGCAAGCCCTGCTGAATCTGTAGCAAAGCCTGCATTGCTCTAGGGTTTGACATAGCTGATAACGTGTCAGGATTCTGCATCTAAAAACAGGAAACTCATAATATACAGATATTCAAAGTTGATCTTTATCACTAGATGTTTTATAGACTCTGATATCCTTTCAGAACTTGCTGTTTTTCAACTTTGTATTTGAATATTTACATTAAATCCTTCAGATTGGGTTTTTTTTGAGAAAACTTTCACAGGAGATGAATGAGTTCTCTAGACTCCTTTTAAATAAGGAGAACATAAGGAAAAGTATTTCTCATTATTTCTTCTAGTAGAAGAAATAGGAGTTTATTAGTTAAACATAATTCTAAATTAGTCTCCCATATCATAATACTGGTAAACAAGAGGGCTGAATACAGTGAAACCTAAGAAGGTGTCTAATACAGAAAGTTATAAAACATCTTTTTCTAGCTAAATTCAGACTACAGCTATTTGATAATTTGTGCACGTGTTCCTATCTGTAGTGCCATCAACATCTACTCTGCAAAACATACTAGTAAACATAATATTCATGAACCCTCATTCTTTGATGATCAGGACACATGCCTAGTAGATGAAAAGAAGGCAGTGGATGCAGTTTTTCTGGATTTCAGGAAGGTTTTTGATACTGTCCCTCACAGCACCTTTCTGGATAAGTTGTCCAGTTGTTGGATGAGCAGGTTCATGGTGCTGGGTGAAGAACTCGTTGAACAGCAGGGCTCAAGAGGTTGTAGTGAATGGGACTACATATGGTTGGCTACCAGTCACCAGCGGTGTTCTTCAGGGCTCAATTCTAGGGTCAGTTCTGTTCAATATATTTATCAACAATCTGGATGCAGGAATTGAATGCACCATTAGAAAGTGTGCTGGTGATACTAAACTGTGAGGTGCTTGTGACTCTTGTGAGGGACAAGAGGTCTTGCAGAGGGATCTACATAGATTGGAACATCAGACAATCATCAATGGCATGAAATTCATGTTATTTATTTTACTCATAACACTGCAATGAGATCCCAGCAGTACACATTTACTTTGAATTGTAAAGAGTGTCTAATGATAGAACTCATACACTGGATTCAATTTTTAATTCCTAAAAATTTTGCTTAGTCCTATTTAAAGGACACAATCCTTGTATACACTGTGACAGCTAAGATAAAGCAAATACTGGGGTTGCAACCACAACAGTGTAAGAGGGAAAGTTGGTGGTAAGGCAATCTTTAGAGGCAAACATCTTCAGAATCCACTTCACTTCTTTTGAATTAGCTTATGACTTGCATCTTTCAAGGCATGCTGTAAGGTCTCTTTACCCCAGATAATCAGGGCAGGATGGAGGAAGTATGAGAAAAGTACCGTTAAAGCTTATCTTAGTAGTGGGAAAAGGAATAATATTTTTTCTTTATTTTGCAAAAGAAATCATGTAGGAAACAGGTTCTCTCTGGCTGGTGAGCAGTAAGAACAAGTAATTACTTCTAAGCAAAGGTACAAGAGCAAATCAAAGCAGTTGTGCTAGTCACAGACAAAAACATCCACTAAAAGCCAGATTTAACTTTTGAAAGGGATGGAGAGATAAATCAAGCATTTAATTATCAAGGGATGTAGGGACAGAAAGTTTAAACGTGGAAGATATATAGATATATTCAAGGAGGAAAAAGAATTTTGCTCAAGATTTTTGCTGCTGGTAAAACTAGGCCTAGGAAAAACCCAGTGTGGGAGAAAATTCTTTCCCATGAATAGTGCTGCCTATTTTTCTGCCTGCTTGCTTTGAGAAGTTAACTCCCCTGTTGCAAGAAGAGATAAAAGTTCTCACAGACATGCTTGAGGGTCCTGTTGAGAGAGAGTGAGACCATAAAAAGCATAGAGGAGAACACAGACATGAAGTTATGTGCATGCAAAAGGTGATGTTATAAAAACACCATAATGGGTCTCCCGTTGCTTCTTTTTTTTTGCCCACTGCCTGATTGAGCAGTGTATTTAGGGTTTCCAACTTCAGAATAAACTTTTCCTTAATATTCTAGCTGTGGTTTGGTCATCTGGGTTAACTTGTGTGTTTATCAATTCTTACAATGGATAATACAACTCAGTGTCTAAAGCTAATGAGGACACAGAATGTAGTTTTAAGTGAAATCAAGGAAAGGCAGTAGTTTGTTGCAAAAATTGCTCACTGGATTTCAGACATTAATTAACAAGACTTAGTATCTCATCTTACTTGTTGAAAGAAAGTAGGAAGTTGTCGTCTCATTTGCTCCTGAAGTTGAGAATTTCCAGCAAATATAGGATTATTCAACATCATCTATGGGCCAAAAATATTTAACATCATGGATCAAGCAGTAGATCAAAAAGTGAATACTAGAGTGGATTTTAAGACAACTATTCACCATATACAAATCAGATAACAAGATAACAAGATAATAGCCTGTGATAACCTCAGAGTAATTATCTCCTTTGGCCAAAACTTGTTCTGAAAGAATGAACCACCACCCTGAGAATTGACTGAAATAATTGGTGGTGTGGCTGTTGTTTTTTTGTTGTTCGGTTTTTTCTTTGTTTGGGTTTTTTGTGTCTTTTTTTATTTATTTTTGGGTGTAGTTTTTGTTGTGGGTTTTTTTTGGGATGGGGAAGTGGTGGCATTAAACTTCTGAAGTGAATCCTTGCCAGATCCTCACCAAAGAAACCTCAGTTATGCAACAAGAAATGCCTTTTCTAATCAACCTCCACTACTGATGTGATGGTTTCCCTGTAAATATTGTTTGCAAAAAGCCTGGGATATTTCCAATTAACTGTTTAGTATACAAAATAATATTATCTCAGGTCAAGATTTGATTTTGGATATTATTGCTGTAAGTAAAATTGGAAAGCACTTCTACAATACCATTCATAAAACAGCAGCATCAGCACTTTTATTGCACGCAAGGATCACAGGTGAGAAAGGAAAACCAGAATAACAGCTAGATATGGCACCAAATCCTTCCCCTCCACTTCTGTCCTCCCAAGCTAAGATGGATATTTATTTACAAGCAGATCTACCTTAATTTATAATCAAAGCATTTGTTTTGTTTAACTGGTTCTTATGCTAGGTCACAAAATTATAGGGTTGTATGAAACACACACAAACAGAAGTTGTTACAAGAAAATGCCTGACATGATGTCCAACGACAAATTGAAGAAACTTACTGCAACAGATTGCTAAAGGTAACTAGGTAATAATTTCAGTAAGGCAGACATTAACATAATTTAAAAACTGGACCATTTGCAACAAACAGATTATTGTTGAGAAGTTAGCACGGTTATTCTGTATTGAAAATATAACTGTATGATAAATTCAACTCCTTTTTTCACTTCAGCGTACACAACTCATTCCTACACAAAAAGCATTTACCTGTATTGCAAGATCAGGATTCTGGCTCAATGACTGCATCATGCTTCTCATATAGGGTGCAGACAACATATTTTGCATAAGTTGTGGATTTTCTGTTATCTGCTGGAACAAACTCTGCATTCCTGGTGTGTTGAACATACCAACTTAAAAAAAAAAAGTAAAAGGTCACTTTAGTAAAAACCTTGACTATAATCAAATTAATTAGACTGCCTAGAACTGAGATACAACTGTGTGGGTTTGTTTTGGTTTTTTTTAATGAGCTTTAGCCCCTTAAATACATCTCAGTGTGGTTCTGCTTACACAGATGCATCTGCCCTAGGAACAAAATAAGCCAGAAGTCATATCCAACAAACAGTCAGGTTAAGTATCTACATTATTAACTGTTTTCCTGTTTGTCTCCAAACAGAAAATATATTATCATTCATGTATAGATTCCTTACTTTTATTTTAAGACAGTACACAAGTATTGTTAGCGCTCTTGGTTTACTTTTCATGTTTGTTTTCCCACAGAGGACTTTGATACTAGTTAAATATTCAATGGAAATTAACAGCAACACAAACTTTTAATCAAAACATCAAAAATAACAAAATATTTTCACTTAACTCCTGAATATTTGCAAATATATACAAGTGCAATAACAGACAAACCTCCTAGTCCAGATCCCAAATTTTCTATAGTTGAGTTCTGTCCCATACTAGCAGAGGTGCTATTTCCGACATTACTACTGCCACTGTTCTCACCACTGGTGCTGGTACTTGTGGAATTCTGAGAGTTGGACTGAGGAGCCCAGGGATTTGGTAAAGGATCTCTATTTTCTGTACGAGATGGCTGACTGTCCCCTCCTGATGATGCATTGCTTACTAAGGAAGCAAATGGGTTACCTCCAAACTACAGAAGGAGAAACAAACACATATTATCTATTAGTCGACTATTTTTAAGTCTGCTAGAAATGGCAAGTTATGGTAATCAATTATAATCACCATCCTAAAATAAGCCATTGTAAATATTATCATCAACAAGAAAAAAAAAGATAAGTTAATTACACCTCGTTTTAAATGCAGCATATGCTACAACACTAGTACTTTGATCACAGTAAGATTATATCTTGCATAGTGGTTTTCAACTTAGAAAAATTTCAAAGCCTCTTTTCTTCCCACCTTAGGTTCCAAGTAATACACTCTTAATTTTTCCTGAACCTCATAACTTTATAAGTCCAAGAATTAAACATAAATTTAGAATATATATAAGAAAAAATTATTAACATTAAAATAGCTTATCAAACTCACATAACAGTCTTTATCCCTTCAAGTTTAAAAGAGCATAGGAACAAACCACACATTGACTTCAAGTTTCAAGAAATTAAGTTTTGACAAGTACACATTTGAAAAGTTACATTATTTATCTTCTTTCATATTTGAAAATAACCCAAAAAACAACCCACAAACCCACACAAAAAACAAACAAAACACCAACAACCAACTAAAACCCACTTACTTTCAGTGGCCCCTACAATCATTTCTCACCTGTTCCTGAGCTGCATTCAACATTGGCTCCTGAATATCTGTGTACATACGTCGCAAGGCATTGTAGCCACCTGGTATGCTTTCAAGGTTGCTCAAGGCTCGGTCTTGGTTTCGCATCATTTCCTGCATCATTGCAGGGTTTCTAGCAAGTTCTAGTGTCTAATGAAATAGAACGTGTAATTTGTATTCATAAAAAAATCCATTCTAAAGTGAAAACATCAGCATTTAGCAGTACCTCAGTTACTAATGTCTAACTTCATTTGAAATTAAGATTAAAGTCAAATCAAGACGTCAGTTTAGTGAGAGGAGACTCAATAGAATTTTGTATTTAGACAACATTCTGCCACAACTGTCAGTATGCTAGCTGAATCACAATGCATTGACTAAACAGAAGAAAAAGTTCTTGAATGTACCATCCTGTTCTTTCTTGTCTCATCTCAACACAATATGTTTCTCCCATTTCTAACCTCAGTACAGCATGCATCTTGAAAAATAAATACCTACAGTTTCCAAAGCCTCCACTTGTTTCTTGATGCCCTCTGTCACATAAGGCATATCTTACATAACTTTAGAAGCAATCAGAAGTACCCACAGTTACATAAACTGGAAATAAGTAGTACTTTGGAGAATTATTACTTTATGGTAAACTCACTGTTGACTAGACAACAGAAGATTTCAAGTGGCATTCGACTCTTAACTCAGAATATATGATTATACAGTCTTCGGCATCTTTTAAAACTATGTTGGGTTTTTTTGTAAATTATCAGCTTATTTCAGACACCAGCAGCTAGAAAAACACCCCATCTATTTCCTATAGTGACCTTTTACAGATTGTCTAACAAGCCTAAATTCCTCAACAGTATTTCAGCACTCATATAAGCATGTCCAATTCTTGCTCTTTTATTCCCAGTTACAATATAATCAAAGTCATGACCTTAGAGTTCTTTCTACATACCTGTCTCATTATATCTGGATTATTCAGCATGTGACCGATTTCTGGATTTCTCTGTACCAGTTGCTGCATTTGAGGGTTAGCCATAATTAACTGTCTCATCAAGTCAGGATTTGAAAGCATGCTCTGAACAAATGGATTTTCCATTATCTGAACCATCATTTCTGGGTTGGACATAAGTTGTCGTTGCATCTGACTTTGCAACTCTGAAAAGTTTGATGCATTTAAACCCAGGCTACTCAGGCCTGTCAAACCTCCAAGGCCACCTTTAAGATGAAAGGAAAAAAAATTAAACTTTCAGCTTCTAATATATTTCTAAACACATCCAGGTTCTTTTTAAGTACAAAATACATAAACATAACCCATGCTTCAAAATAATGAAATTCAATGGAAATTCTATCTTTGCAAGGTTGTTAAGGAGTCATTCACTAGGAGTTTGCTTCTGTACATAACGAGACATCTAGAAATCCAAATTGCATCTGAAATATAACTTGTTACAATTCTAACAGTTTTTCTTCTACTTTACTGTAGCTGAGGTACAAGGGATGTTTGAGTTTTAAGGTCTCAGGTTAATTTCCAACACTTTCCAATACATTTGTAATAATCATTTATAGAGACCACCACCATGAGGAATCTCTTAACATGATGCATACTCTATTCTAAACAAAAAGTAGAACTCTTCTTTTTGCTGATGCAACAAGAACTAATAATGCTTTAAATTCTCCTTTGCAGAGTTCAGCAAACAAAAGTTTCACATTTTGAGAAGGTACTAGTCAGTCTGGAGAACTGTTTACAACTAAAAAAAGTCAATTGCTTACCACAGTTTTCTGTTATTTCATTTTTTGTTTTTAAAAAGAAAGCAAAGAAAGAGGATGAAGAACAAAATGTAGCAACTCTGAAAAAAAATATTTTTAAATCAATAGACTTCTGTCTCTATTCCTGATAAAGAAGAGCAATAATTCAATCAGACTCAGAACCTGAGAAATACTGGTTTGTAAGATATGAGTAACTTTGTTACTTCTGCTCCAAGTCATGATGTTATGGGTCCAACTTCAGTACTCTCTTCAGGTCAATTCAAATGCACTGTTAAGGAGGAGAAGGAGACTGGAAGGAGTTTAATTACCTATAGTGCCAGAATACAAGATCAGTGGCACCTTATTACTGAAGATGAAACAGCACAAACCCGAAGTTCTGTACATAAAAATTAAGGAAACAATTTACCTCTGATAACTTACTGATCAAAAACTTATCCCAACCAACACCACAGATTTTTGCAATCAGTAATTTTATAATATTTTTAAGTCCAGTTTACATTAGAATAAAGCTCCAGAGATCCTTAACTGAAACCAAGATACCTAAGATAGCCACCATGTTATCTAACAAATATTCTTACCCAAGGCAAAAGAATTTATATTTGTTGAAGTTGGTGTTGAGGTATTACTGTTCGATATTGATGTGGTAGCAATACTGCCAGTAGTGTGTGTTTGTTGATCTGGATGGTCTTGTGATCTATAAAAAGCAAGATTAAAAAATTACAATTTGAACAAGGTGCAGTAAGTTGACCCCAACCAGTTAAATCCCCACCCAGTCACAACATTATTTTACCCTCACCCCAGGCAGGATGGGGGAGAGAATCGGAATGGTAAAACTGAGAAAAACTCATGGGTTGAGATAAAAACAGTCTAATAAGCAAAGAAAAAAAAACCCCAACCAATAAAATGAGAAAAGTGATGCGAAGACAATAACTCACCACCTCCCACCAGCAGACCACTGTCCAGCCAGTCTCTGAGCAACAGCTACTTTGGAAAAGTTTCCCCTCAGTTTTATTCCTAAGCATGACATTATCTGGTATGCAATATCTTTGGTCAGCTTGGTTCAACTGTCCTAGTTGTGTCCCCTTCCCAACACTAGCCTACTCACTGGCCATGATGCTGTACAAGCACTGTTCAGCAATAGTTAAAACATCAGTGTGTTATCAATGCTGTTAGGTCAAGAATCCAAAACACCTCACTATACAGGCTGTTATGAAGAAAGTAAAACTCCATCTGAACCAGATCCAGTACACAGGGTCTGGCATTTAATATAATTACATTTAATACAGGAACAGTATCATACTTGAAAATCCTAATTTACATTTTTTATTATTTCTAGAACCCCCATAAACTCTAGATGTCTTCCTGGTCAAACTCAAACAGAAAGTATACAGAGGTGGAAGCAAGGATGGGCAATCTGGGAGGAATACAAAGATATTGTCAGTCTCTCTTTCTTATATCGAGTTATGAAAGACAAAGTCCAAATGGAATTGAATTTGGCAAGGGATGTCAAAGACAACGAGAAGGGTTTCTATAAGTACATAGGTGACAAAAAGAAGACTAGGGAAAACATGCAACCGCTGCATAATGAGACATGGGACCTGGTTACACAGGACACCAGGACAGAAAAGGTTGAGGTACTGAATGCTGCCCTTGACTCAGTCTTTACTAGCAAGACTGGTTTTCAGGAAAACCAGGCCCCTGAGACCAGGGAAAAAGGCTGGAGCAAGGAAAATGTACCTTTGGTGGAAGAGGAACAGATCAGAGAATACTTAAGCAAACTGGACATACATAAGTCCATGGGCCCTGATGGACCCATGAGGGCCAAAAGAGCCAGCAGATGTGAAACAGGAGGCTAGGTCCAAAAGAGTTAACTAAGAAATTTGGGCCTGCTAACAAGCTACTAACATCCAAAACGATCTGTGCTTGTTCTGTTCTACTTGTTGGACCAAAGCTTAAGAGAATAGTACAAGAACATGTAATAGGTCTAGAGGTAATAAATTAGAAATGCAGTAGGATAAGGTAGACATTCGAATAGAAGAAATAGGTCAGGAGCCAGGGTTTTTTCCAAGCTTCAGTGAACGGGTCAAGAACTGTTGCAGGGCAGAAATTGTGTGAACAATTTCTATTGCATTTCTGAGACCTTTGCCTTGGCATGGTTGGGTGCAAACAGTAAAATACTGCGCCACTAATATGGCTGCAGGTCTTGTGCCAAGGTGAAGGAGGAGTTGTTTTGGTAAGAAAACAAGTTTTATGGACACCTGCAGTTATCCAATTAGTGTTGTACACCACAGTATGTTTCTCTTATGTATCCAATGTAACCTGGGGAAGAATCACATGCCTGTGTGTCACAAGCAGCATATAAGCTGCCTTTTCTCTAATAAAGCAGACATTTTTGCCAATCGTATTGATTTGTGTGCAATTCTGTCCGAGTCCCTCCGCCGATATCTGGCACCCGAACAGGGCCTTCTACTTCGTCGAGTTCTGCAGGGACGTAAGGTGAACGGTAGGAGCTGAGGGAAGCGGTAGTGTGAGGTAGTGCTGTCCCCGGCACTATGAGAAAGCCGCGCGCGGTGGTGTTGGAATCTCGCCTTGGCCAAGCGAGTCGACTGAGGGAGGAGGCATGGGGCCAGCGGCATCCAAAGAGGATGAGGTTGCGGAAATGCTCCTCCGATATATAGTCTAAGAGAGTCAAATTATGATAAAAAAGCCCTTGAAGGGTTAATAGTCTGGGCGAGAGCTAAGAATTTACTCCCCTCTGCTCAAGCTGCCTTTGAGGTATCCATTTGGGATGCTATAAAGGAACAGTTATGGGAAGAAATGGAAAAAGGGTCTAAAAATGTTGAAAAATATAGGAAATACCCTAAAGTCTGGCGTTTAGTCGTTGAATCGCTGCAAGAGTTACGTACAGAGCAGTGAAAACTTATAATTGCTCAGGGAACTTTGTCGGGAAGCAGCGGGACTGCGGTGTGTCTCCATGCCGATGAGTCTGTCTGCGGGGAGGTCCTAGTGCCTGCGGTTGAACAGTCACGAACGCTAATAAAAGCAGTAGGACTAACTCAGTTTAGCAGCACATTTGTGCCAAGGGTTAATGCAGAGACTATGAGAAAAGTAGGAGCAGTGGAGAGCGACGTTGGCACTCTGTCAGCGTCACTGCCCTTCTCTGCGCCTGCGCTACCAGTACTGCCACCTTCTACTGAGCCTGCGCTGTCAGCAGAGCCACCCACAGCTGCGCCTGCGCTGGTCGCAGAGCCAGAAGCTGTCACTGTGCAAGCACCGCCTGGAACAGAGCTGCTAGGAGCCTCCGAGTCGCTAGATGTCGCTGCATTGCTACCGCCTGAAACTACCATGTCGCCTGAAATTACATCATCAGCAGTCGTCACATCAGAACCAGGAAGTCCAACCGCAGAAACTGCAGTTGCAGTAGCCGGCTTTACCCCTACAAGTGTTGCCGTAGCAACTGAAGCTATTTCGGCAAGGACTGCCACCTTGGCAGAAACTGCTGCCGTCTTACCGGGAGCTGCCGTTTCGGCAGAAGTCACCACGGTTCCAATGGGCACCGGAGCCACTGCCGAAGCGAGCATGGCTCCTTCACCTGCTTCAGTTCTGCTGCGAGAGGAGAAAGACAAACCTAATCGTGGTAATGTAAAAGAGTTATTTTCATCATTTCCATCCTCAAGCTTGTCTTCTGATGACGAGAGCTTGGACAATGGAAGCCAGAAAGCCACTATGCTTGCAATAAAAGACCTTAAAGACACTTTATTGCTTCACTTTCAAGAGCTTGAGTCTAAATTAGGAGAGAGACAGTTTGTTCAGCTGAATACAGCCCCCTCTAATGTATCAAACTTTAATTGAGAGTGAACCCTGGGAAGCTTTGGACTGGAAAATTTTAAAAGAAGTTAAAATAACTGTTATGCTGTATGGTTTAAAGAGTGATTATACATGAGTAGTACTGTGGCATCTTTTTACTGCTCATTTTTTAACACCATATGATATTCGTATAATCATATCTGTATTACTTTCTCCTTCTCAGCAAGTGGAATTTCTTAACGAATGGAGTGCCAGTTGTGCAACACTGGTTGCACAGTCTAAGCAGAAAGGACACCCTCTTTTTGGTGTTACTGCTGACATGTTCATGGGTTTTGGTCAGTACAACAGTGCAAATTTGCAAACACAATTTTCAAAGGAGGTACTACGAACTAGTCAGAATTTAGCTTATCAGTCATTGCTTGCAGTAAGGGATGTAAGAACAAGACCCTCACATTCTAAGTTCAAGCAGGGACCTAATGAACCACATGATCAATTTGTGAAACGTTTGCGTCAAGCTATAAACTCAGATCCAGACATACATTGTGACATAAAAGCGCAGTTCATAGACTTGTTAGCTTATTACAATGCTAATGACAAAACAAAGTAAATATTGAGCGCACCACATAAGAGTGCTGACTCACTTGACTTTATAGAGGCTGTGAAAAAGATGGTTGAGCAGAAAGGAACATTTTGTATAGCTGATGCAATAACTGCAGCTATAAAACCTTTTTGTCTGTAGAAACTGACACTTCTTCAGAATCAGATACAAGTTCTGATGATGATGATGAAGAAGACAATAATGCTGGAGTTTAGAACAGATCAGCAACATTCCTAGACATCTTTTCAGAATTATTAAATAATAGAATTAGTACAACTGCAGTTTGTTGCAGAATAAAGTTGTTATAGCTTCAGAATTATTAGTATAAGAGTATTTGGTACAAAAATCAGTGATTTAAGAACTCTTAACACACTTTTACACAAAGGAAAGGAGGACAGAAGGATATCAGTTCTCCTCTATTGACTTGCAAAAGTGTTTCATGTGTTTTAAGGTTTTTGTGCACAGGTGTTCTCTGGCTATCTGCACATAAATGAAACCCTGGAAAGAAGTTGGTTCTTCAGAACAGAGCTGATGTTGTTGCTGTTGCAGGTAACAGTGAATTACCAAAAGAGCACAGTATTTTTAGTCTTATTGAGAGCACAATTTTTTCAGTATTACGCACAATTTTTAGGTATTATGAGCACAGTTCCTTTTTCAATATTTTTAAGGCACATAATTATAGAGGTTTTAGAATTTAAGAAAGTGTGTTGTGTGAACTTTAGATTATTCACTACATTTTAGTAAAAGAAAGTTTATCTATCTAGTCAATTTTATCGGTTTGGTTAAGAAGCTTTAACATTATAAGGTACTAAAGAATTATAACTTTTTAGCTGATAAAACACAGTGATATGGAATTCAACAGTATGTTTGTGTGAATGTTGACAGTGGCCACTGTGAGAGTTTGTATGTGTGTATGTGTGTGAATGCATGATGATTAATGTGTTTTGATCCAACAAATACACAAACATCTTTTAAACAAACACAGAAGACACATAACTCAAAATTAAATGGAGTTCCATTTCCAGAAGTGTTTTAGACTGAATAAGTTTGGAGAAGTACTCTTAGGCACACTTTTAGAACACACATCTTGGGGTCAATAGGTTGTTAAGTTTATTAATGATAGTATTGTTATTGTATGTTTGTGTTTATTGGACCATTATGGATACAATAAGGAATGTTACAGAAATGCAATCTAAATTGTTCAAACTTCAACGGGGGATTTGTTGCAGGGCAGAAATTGTGTGAACAATTTCTATTGCATTTCTGAGACCTTTGCCTTGGCATGGTTG